TGCAAAGTGGGAAAGTCATCAGTTTGCAGGATCATAATGAACTGTAAGCTGCTTGATGATACAAAATGGACTGGGAAACCTTATGGCCAAGGTCCTTTCATGCATTTAATATACTCATGTGGAAGAAAGTATACCCTCTTTGAACTTTATGGTTTTACATATCAGGACATAAAAAAATCACCTGGTCCTTCGAAGGTCAGAAAATTAGGTAAATACCACATCAGATGAACAATCCTACATGACATATTACACAGTGTCATGATTTAGTTAACAAAAATAAAGCCAAAATGGAGAAGCCATGTGTGACTAAGTACACCCTTACTGCTAGGAATGAAGAGGCTAACTAGTCAGATTCTGCTAATCAAATGCCATTGAGTAAGTGATCATCAAGTGTTATCACCTCTATAAAACCCAAGTTTTTAGCAGTTTGCTGGCCTGGAGCATTCTGGTATGTGTTAACACAATACCAAGGAGGAAACACATCAGCAGTGACTATAGAGAAGCAATTGTTGCTGCCCATCAATCTGGGTACAAAGTAGAGGTGTTTGGCCATAATGCACAGTGCCACGTTTGGCAAAAACAAAATACAGCATGTCACCACATGCACCTCATATCAGCTGTCAAGCATGGTGGTGGAAGGGTGGGATCACTGCATGTTCAAAGGAGAGTTGTACCCTCTTTTGACCCCTGGAGTAAGGAAGCCATTTAATGGTTGCTAAGTCTATTTTGTGTACTTCTGTCATTAACAGTTGGCTTAGGGAAGATAAAAAATGTCTCATGTGAATCCCATCTCCTATTGATGGAGATTGGTGCGATTTGCAGCAGGATCTGAGTAGGCTCAAAGATATTCATGTTCCTTGCAGCCTCCCTCAAGTGTTGGGCAGGTTGGGGTTGGGGTTTCTTTTGTGGATCAATACTGTTGTTTTCCCCCATCTGGTTGCCTTGCATTTTCCTCTTTAATTGAGGGTTTCTTGGTGCTTGGGTTAGTGATTCTGTGAGTTTCCCCAAAGTGGATCCAACTGCATTCATTTTATGACACACCCTTTGTAGATTATTAAATATTTCGGAAACAGTTTGAGCTGTGAGCAGACAGTGTTCTGCTAAGTGGGTAGGCAGATGTTTGATAGTGGCATCTGAAAGAGCCTTAGCTGGGGAGGGCAGGGAAAGTTCAGCATTTAGCTCCTCAGTGATTGGGAGTGTTTCATCCTCAAATATTGCAAATTGGTTGCTTAGGGCTGTGGGGGGCCCAGCAGTTCAATTACTCACTGTGCAGTTGGTTGTTAGAAGCTTGTCTATTTTCAGTTGCTTCACTGCTTTGGCTGGGTGATGACCTGGGCTTGATCTATGACGTTTATTTCCCATTCTTGCTAATTTCACTATGTTTTAGGTTGGTGAGAGTTTGAGGATTTGCTGGTTGCAGGTTCAAGGCAATTTACTCCTCTCACTGAGACAATCCGTCTCCCTTGTTTATCTCAAATACTTCTCATACAGTCACTCCTCTCCGGTATTCAATGTCCAAGTTCTCATAAAGTAGAAGTAAAGGTTTTGTAATCCTTTGTGAAGAGGCTTGTAGTTCTGGAAGGGGAATTTAAAGCCACAGGTGTGAAGCAAACTCAAAAGAAATGCTTCAGCCGTAAACCAAGAGACAAAATCTTCATTAAAAAGTTAGGCAGTAAAAGCCCTTCGTTGTCTTATGTGGCGCTCTTCTTCAAACCATCCAGATTCCAGTTAAAATATAAGGTAAAATATGAGGTAAAATATAAGGTAAAATATGAAAATACATTTAGAAATATAAAATATATAAAAGCTTCAGCATTCAGCATTCAGTAAAAGGCTATTTTTGACGGCAATCAAATCTCATTCAAAGAAATGCTGAGTGATTAGTTTTTCCGAGTAGGCAGTTAAAATCATAATAAAACAATGCTAAGCAGTAATAAGCAAGTGGAGGAGGCTACTCCTGGTAGCGGATGACTCTTCTATGATGAAAGCTCATATTATAACCTTTAAAATAACAATTATCAAAGATTTCCTGATGTGGGCTGGGTGGTTAGCTTTTTCGTTTAATTTTTTTGTCCCCAAGAAAAACAACAGAGAGTTTTGTGGCAACTTGCAAGCTTTACTTGGCATAAAATGTTCATGTATCTAATGAAGTAGGCTGCACTCTGTGGAAGCATATGCCAATTCAAACTTGCTAGCCCTTAAGTTGCCACAATACTTTGTTGGGATTGTAAGAGGTTGTATAACCTGTCCATCATAATAATAACTGTGTGTTGCTAAGTCAGTTTTCACTTAGGGCAGTCCTTCACAGATTTTTTAGGTAGAGAATACACAGAAGTGGTTTACTATTCCCTTTTTCTGGGGCACCCTAGAACTGTACAGCTTGCCCAAGGCCACACAGGCTGGCTTTTCTCTCAGGAGGCACAGTGGGGAATCAAACTCTCAACCTCTGGCTCTGCAACCAAATACCTTAAACCACTGAGTTATCCAGCCAGCTAACCTGCCATATACAGACTTACGTAGAGAATATATTCACACTCAATGCATGTAATGTAGTTGCCTTCTTAATAAGTAAAGTTAAAAAGTATGTTTTATTGTAAAATAGAAAAGTGGTATGGAAATGCTCTAAAATACTAAACAGGCAGATGAGCAAAAGTGACAAAGTCACAGTTGCTGTGAATCAACTTTTTGAAGGCCATTTGCAATTATCAGGGCTTGAAAAATTTTAGATTGTCTCACCAGTCAGTCAAAAATGTCACCAGTCAGCATGACCGGACTATAGCCTTGCAATTTATTGGAACTGGAAATCAATACCCTCAGACTTGGGTTGCTTTATTATCTGTGTGCCTGTGGGGTCATGAAGCTTGTATTCTGAATGCCTTTCTTTTGAATGTCTCCAGAAAAAATAAAACTGAAAGCGAAAATGCCCAGCCTCCTTAAGGAGCCACAGTTCCCTTCCACCCCAGGATGTGTCCTCGTTCGGTTGAAATTGGGCGCAGGGAATCTCCATATTCTCCAGCATAGGGCTACTTCTACATTCTCCTGCAGAGCCATATCTCTATGTACCATTTGAACTCTTCATGAGAAGAGGGCAGTTTTCCTTTTGCAGTGGGAGGGGGAGGGGAGGACTGCAGGATTAGAGAGAGAGAGAGAGAGAGACAGGCAGAGGGTAAGTAGGCAGGCAGGGAGGGAGCTGTGACTTGTCAAGCAGCATTTTTCACTCATCACAGACGAGTGGACAAGTGCATTTTTCAAGCCCTGGCAGTGATGTTAGAGAAATTGTTTAAACTGTGCTTATACTTTATAATCTTGCAATTAATACAACAGAAGGATAAATGGCATACTAATTATTAACAATGGTTTAAGTTTCCATTTGGGGAGTATATTTTTCCTTTTGGCAAACTTTAATCAAGTCCTTCCATTATGAGCTGTATTTTTAATTTTTTACATCATTGCAGATGATTTTGAAGCTGTCTATTAGCACTTGAAAGTGGAGAGAGTATCAGTTATTTTTATTTAAAATGCCATGAAACTACTGTTGGCATCACTGTGCTTATTCCAGCTGTATTCAGTTCTGAAGAGAGAATTTACTCTTCTTTCCAAAATGGGGATAAGAATTGCTTTGCTGTCTTACTACAAACCACTTTAACTCTGATGCCTAGTTTCTGCAGCATTTGGTATGTTGCCTTTTATATGATAACACAGCAAACTGTAAACGATATTAATTCAGAGCACAATGAATTGCTATGGCTTGAAAATTTCCTAAGGACATTAACCAGGGGTAAACAAAGTGAGGCCTGTAAGCTGCATGCAGCCCTTTCAGGGATATTTTATTCTCCCTCTCCCCCACCCCACCCCCCAATTTAAATTTTGTTCCAGTTAAAAACACTCTGCCGTCCAAAATATTGACAAAAAAGTCTTACAGTGGCAGGGGGGAGGGAAGGGCTTCTAGAAATCTAGAATTTCTTCGAAAAGAGAAACCAGAAGTACCCATCCTGCTCGATTTTTTCCCCTTTTCCCTAGATAAAAAAGGGCTTTGGGGCTATTTCTGGACCTGACTTTAATTTGGCTCCCAAGCCTTCAGGCATTGCCGATTCCTTACCAAATTTGGGACTCCAAAGCCCTTGAAACACTGAATTTGTTATGCCCCAGAAGAATAACCCTATTTGATCCAATATAAATTCTGGTCCCCTTTAAAAATCTGCAGACATTACCTATCCCTTTTACGTCAAATCTTTGTCAAGCCTCCCACATGCCTGTATGCTTGCTTATTTACCCATTTGGGAGCAAGAAGCAATGTAAAACAGATTGATAGGTAGAGAAATTTCCTCCTGTCTCTTCATTTTGAGTATGTTTCATATGCAGCGTCCTGATGATTAGACTCCATGCAAGCAAGTCTATCTCTTTGCATATCATGCTTTTCCCGCATTCAGTTCATTCAAGGTTTGCACATTTCAATATTCTGTGCAATCACAGAATTCATTTTGCTTGTTAGTTATGGGCCATCGTCTAAATTGACTTATAGCAACCCTAATAGGCTTTCAAGGTAAGTGAGGCATTTAAGAAGTGGTTTTACTGTACCTGTTCTACACTCCCAATGAGTTTTCATGCCCAACTGGGAACCCTGATCCTTAGAGTTTTGTTCAGTACAGGTGGGAAGACAGTGGAGAAGGGGAGAGAATTTCAAGCAGGCAACCACAGGGAAAGTAGGAAGCATCCTTGTGTTCTACTCAAAATGAGCTCCTACTCAAGATTCGAGCTACTTGATGCTTTTCCTGAAAGAGAGAGAGAGAGAGAAAGAGGGACAACAGTTCTGAGACAAATCTGTAATTAAGTAGTAGTCCTGGAAAACACAAGATTGATTCTAAAGCTCCAACTCAGTCTTTTCATGCGAGAGATTAGTTAATAACTTTCTGAAGAGTTTTATAGTCTGAAGCTCTGTCTCTGAGTGCTGTTATAAATAGCAAATTAATAGGATTTTGTCTGTTTTCTTCCATGTACAGTGCAGTTTTCACGAGAACCTGGATGGCTAGAAGGAACTCTAAATGGCCAAAGAGGACTCATTCCCCAAAACTATGTCCAGTTTCTTTAATTCTTTCCATTGAGTGCCTGGAAGGTGTACATGGTATCCATGGAGATATATAGATATATATATTTGATACAGTTGCCTCTCTTGGCTTCAGATACGTTCAGCTGGTGAAGAAATTGGTGAAGAACATGACAATGAATTGAAAATCTACATTTCTGCAAGGATTTAATGTTTTGCCAAAACAGGAATTATACAGTTAGGATTTGTGTTACTTTATATTGAGGAAAGTGGTTTAATTTTATAAAAAGTACTTCTTAAGTGTAAAAAATATATGTATATAGCTATATTGTGTGTGTTTGTAACCTAACCTGCAAGTTAAATTGAAGACTTGATTGATTTCAGAACCAACTTCCAGTTAAAAAAACATTGGAAAAAGCATTTAGTCTCTTTTTCTCCCTGCACTCCCCACCCCAATATCTGAGAAGGTTAGAACTTTATAATTTTAAATCCACTAATTCAGATTGTTGGAAAAATAATTTATACTGACAATTAATTCACATTTTAAACTGCCATCTTTGTGGTTATTACAACAAAGATACTCTGGTGTTAAAGATCCATTAATTTCCCTTATTTTTAAAGGGAGGTATTAAGCATCATCAGTTGAAACCCATAGGAAGAAAGAATGGAATACATCTTTCAAATGTCCATAGTGGACATATGAATTAGGACAAATACTATGGTTTCACTTAGGATAAATTTTAAAAGTAAAGGTCCATAAGCTATCCTTTGGGTTCCTAGAATTTCTGCTTTTAGCTGAACAGAAACAGAACTGAAATAAAACTATTTTTCTATTCATTTGATGTTATGCACTGTGGAAAAGCATGTTTAATATTTCTGGCAATCTGTGGAGATTCACTTTTATTTAGGCCCAAACTAGATATGACATGCACTTGCTTATATTTTCTCCCAGTGTTTTTATTTTTTTCATTCAAGAGACTCAAGAGTCTTAAGGTCAACATGAAAGAACTCTTAAACTCTTTCTCACACAGCAAATGTTCTGCTTAAAATCTTCCCTACCCGTTTTTCCACCCATACAGGGAAAGGAGGGTACATAGCCAGAAGGGAAATGTTTAAAACAGCTTATAGCCAATAAATAACTGTTTTTAAGTTTAAAGAAAAAGTTGGAAAGATAAACTTGAGGGCATGTCATTTTGAGTTTGGACATTAGTTATTACAAAAATGTTTTATACAATAAGGGATAAATTAAGTTCTGATTCTTTCCAACAGCCAGAAGAATGGAAGGCTGTCAAATACTTGTTTAAAATTTTCTGGAAAAGAAAAAAAAGCTCTAGCATATTTTTCATTTTGATGTATGTTGTTGTATATATTACCTATTTGCTATGTTGAGTCCTTTAAATACAACTTTTTAAAACAGATTTTGGAGGGTGAGGGTTTTTGTTGGGAACTGGCAGTGTTTAATAGAAACAGTTGAATTAACTCAAATGACTGGTTCATGTGTACATGTACATCACATGATCACTATGTGGTAACTCTAATCCAAAAGTGTTATTTCACTTACAAAGTGTTGGATCTGAGCTGAAGATGTCTGGTAACAGAGTTCCTGTCTGTGGTAGTTGACTCACACATGCTAAGTATCCCTTGATATTATAGTAGCATCGAGCAGTCACGAAACACACATGCAGAGCCCAAATTAGCATATATTTCTACCTTGACAATTTTTGTCCAGTTGTGTCCGATCTAGGGGCGGCGTATATTTCTGTGTAGACATCCATGGATGCATGTATGTTACTGTTTTCCTGTGCAATATGCTTGTGCACATGCATGGTCCACTCAGGTAAAGAAAACCAACAGATGTTTCCTTCAATATTTAGAAGTGCGAGATCAGGCCGTCTCCCATCATGTGAGGTGGGAGGGGTAGAGTACAAGCAATCTTCTCTGAAGGATGAAGAGAAGGATGAAAAGCTGTTTAGGAAGACACATATGAGGAGTTTTCCCAAGATTAATTGAATCACAACTTCCTGTTCCTGTTAGAATCCAAAGCAAGAAACGGTCCTCTGAGCTCCTCTCTTCAAACTCTCAGATACACTTGAAGAGTGCAGCCTTCTTCCCAAGAGAGGCAAGTCATACTTATGCCAATTTTTATATACTGTATCTTGCCCTTGGCAAAACTTAAAATATAAATATGTATTCTTGGAAAATTGCATTTGAATCTTTATGTCAGACTTCAAAGTTGATTCACATAGTCTATATTTTACTGGTCTATCTATTGAAACAGAATTTTTACCAAGAAATTTAAGCAACAGTTGGCCAATTTTAACTTTGCATTTAGTATCAAATAAAGGAACAATACATTTTTAAGGATACAAGATTTTTATGGGGGGGGGGAAGTAAAAGCATTTTTTTCTTTCTACCTAAAAATTGATTGAAAAACATGTCACAGTTAGCTATACTTCTAGGTTATTTTCTTTAATGAGAAGGTTTAACTGCCAATCATTGTCTGTTCTTTTGCCCAGAACTATAAGGCCTTCGGAGTGTACACAAATTATTTCCAGATGGTGCAGTTGTGATCCAATGTAATGCTATTTGCCTGGTCCAACTGGAACTCTCCCAGGCTGTGGGGCATTAATATAGTTCTTTGTGTCTGAGGCAATAATCTGTGCCAGATAGCTTTAAGGTGATTCTACTTGGGAGATCATCAAGCAGTTTGGAAATGTAACCAGAAACAATGCAGATGCCTGCCGAATAATGTAATGGAAATCAGATTCTCTTTTTCCCATTTATTAGAGGAGCAACGGTGGAGGAGGCATCCTATATAAATACATCACACTCATTCCCACCATTAGTATAATGAAAGTGTGTAGGGGAAGCAGAATTGTACCCTTTAGCTCTGTATCTGCATATTCTTTGCAAAATGTGAAAGGGCCTGCCTGTGCCCTATTTCTGTCACATAAGCACGAGCTTCAGATTGAGTGGAGAACCAACATACATGTATCCCTTTCACAATTGGGCCAAATGTGAAGTGAGGGGAAACAATAGCAACTGCTATCCTACTGCCCCTCTGTTTGTTCCACATGGGCAAGGCAAGAATGAGCAACGTTGTAGTCTCCACTGAGAACTTCATTCTATTCTGTCACATGATAGCACTACCAGTGAATGCAACCAGGATGCAGTTATGTATCTTGCAACCTAGTTAATTCACAAGGATCTGAGGTGGAAACATGTTTAGGCCTTGTGCCAATGTTGTCCTTCAGCATAATTTCTGACTCTCTCTCTCTCTCTCTCTCTCTCTCTCTCTCACACACACACACACACACACACACACACACGAGTTTTACCTTGTTTGGGGCATCCCTGTTTTTTGAGTTGCCTTATGGAATGCTGAATTGGGTTATTTTCACGCAATATCTATTGCTGCACTCCCATGCAGCATTAATTTTGAAAAGGTGGATGAAAAGCCTTCATACATTGACCCTATAAACAAATTGGAGCAGTTTAACATGTACATACCTTGGAGTGCACTTCCTGAAACAAGTACTGTGGCTGGCAATTGAATGTTTTTAACCTATTATGCTATGTAACTTTCAGACTCAACAACAAACTCAAGAGAATAAATTTCACCATCTCTCTAGATAGAATTATATATTAAGAGAACAGTGAAACTCAATAAACACACAATCTCCAGTGTATATAAAGTTTTTGTGCAAGCTTGTCTTCATTGAATTGATAGAACGTATGATGAAAAAGTTGTCCAGCTTGGTCATGAAGTGTTTCAAATCTGACATTTCTTACCAGAAATAAACAATAGCTGTTACAAAATCTCTTTGTATGATGCTTAGAGTTACATTATATAGGTTGAGAGTAGTTAAATAGTTAACCTTTGTTTATATCAACAAAATGTGTCTTCCAACAAAATGCTGCACAAAATTATTCCCATATTGCCAGCCGGAAGAAGGATGACGAGCTCTACGAGCAAAGGGCAGCCTGAATGTTGACAACAATAATGGTAGCAGTCAAGATGGTCTACACAGGATACCCTCTTCTGCTCACTTTCACACTTGTATTTGGGTGAGAATTGGTTAACTGATGAAAAAAAGAGTCAGCATCTGGGATTTTCCATTGCATGGTGTCACTTTGTATATGGTAGTGAGCAGAAGAGGGTGTCCTGTAGACTATTGTGACTGCTGCCATTGGTGTTGTCAACATTTGTACTGCCCTTTGCTATGTAAAGCTCAGCATCCTTCCCTGCTGAAAATGTGGGCACAATGTTGTGCAGCAATATCGGCCAATTTCCTGGCTTTTTAAATTGTAGTTAAAGCAGCACAATATGCCACATTCATAAGCTGAACATTTTTTGAAGAACTGAATCTGTCTTTATCAGAAATCATCAATGATGACTCCTGTTCTGTTTCCTCTGAGTTTGGTGGCTTAGTGCCTCCTCTGTGTCTTCACTGTGTTATATCACACAGATATTTTAAAAAGCGGGCCTCATAGTTTTCAAATTAGTGTCTTAAAACATTCCTATCCCCAACCCGTATTGAGAAGAATGTCATTTTCTGGAAAGAAAGCTTGTCAGAGCAGCTATCTTTGGAAGAACTGGCCATCTGGTGCTTAGCTAAGAATGCAACTTGAACAGCACCATCTTAGACATGTCTGCTCAGAAGTAAGTCCCACCAAGTTCAGTGGGCCTAACTCCCAGGTAAGTGTTGAGTACAGGACTATAACTTTAGATGCTGGGCACAATTAGGCAGTAAGGATGTTGAATCTTGTGCTCCATTCTGCACTTCAAAGAAATGCCCAGCAGAGTGGAGCTTGATAAATAAACCTGCTTACGACCAAGGCAGAAATTCAAAACTGCAGGGAACGCATTACATAAAACTGCATCATGCACCTAACACATACCACTCTGAGGCATTTTTGCAAAGAAACAGATGCAGCACCAGATTAGTACAGTTGATATCAAAGTGCAAGGAATACTTGGAAACACAATTTTAATTTGTGTATATGTTACAGCTTATAAAAGTTATGTACTTAAAGACATAAACATAAAGGCCAAACAGTAATTTTCTATTTATTCAAAAAATTTAATCATACAGAAGCAAGCCCCTAGTTATTACTGCATCATTATGCATAGATGTTGTTGTTTTACACCGTAGTGGTGGCTGCTTTTCAGTTTTATCATCTAGTAATAGAATTATAACACAACCCACTAAACTTTTCTTGCACAAGTGCTAGGTCCCCAGTGGAATGTGCTGTTCACTTCCACAAATTCTGAAATGCTCCTTGGAGAATCCTGATGTTACAATAGCTCCAATCGGGTTATTCACCTGCCCGTTGAAATTGCACCCCTCCTTTCTCTCTTTCCATTCTCTATCAAAACTGTTACATCTTTAATAGACAATTAAAAGTGCATTCAATTGTTTAACTTCATAAAGGTTTTTAAAAGTCAGTGAAAATACCACCCTGTGAATTAGATCTTTGCATTGTTGATTATAAAGTATATTTTATTAAGAGTTTGATATTGCAAGCTTTTAGTCCTTTTTTTGTTCTGTGCAACAAAAGGGTTACACACTGCAATGCAATATTCTTGATGATCCCACTGCAGTAAATTAAAACTATTTTACATATTTTACTTACGAATACAATGTTCTTGCTGTATATCTTCATTCAGTCATTGCCACAAAAATCATTACACTCAATCAACACAATTTATCATTTTGACATTTTGACGTAACGTTTTATCTTATTTTGCAGGAGACAGATGCCTATTTCATTCTAAAGTACAATGTCCTCCTGATCTCCTTTTTTCATTTAAATTTCATTTTAATGATTTCTAAGCACAATAATCAATGGTTTCATAAACAGGTGATTAAAGTAAAGGGTTTATTATAATCTGCTTACAATTGTTTGCAAAGACAGACATATATTTTGCATAAAGATATAAATTGTTTTTAAAACTAATTTAGTGTTTCGCGTATGACATTTCTGAGAATTATGAATTGTACCAAACCAAGATTAAATGCAATAAGGTACAAAAATAAGAGCAATCAGACAACAACGTGAATTGGGACAGACATCTAACAGTGGATTTTTTAAAAAAAGAATATGGCTTTAATATTTTAATCTGGCAAAGTTACTTAGAGATAGAAAAGAGTTCAGTAACTTTGTTAATAAAAAAGCGGTAGCATACTGCATTTACCACAAACCTGGATAATTTGAAATTTCAATGTTTTCTTACAAGTAAATGAAAGATTTGTGACCACTTCAAAATTATAAAGAACCAGTCTGCATGCTGTGTATTTTTATCACTGTAGAAGTGCAGCTTTCATATTGCTGTGCAGATCAAAGGAGCTGATCTAGAAATGAGATTTTCAAAACTGTAAATAATGGCCTGTGTAATTTTATGGATTGATTCTGCATAATAATATCCTTATGAAGATTTTCTATTCAATAAGATGTGTGATTTAAAAAGAAAAGTGATGTTTGCATCCAATTTAATAAATGCAAATAAACATTAAAATTTCAGAAACCTAATTGTTGAGAACCTAAGTGCAATATTTGAAGAACTACTTTATGAGCTTTCATCCCCCATAGAAAACCACTTTTGAGACCAAGGGTACATTCAAAAGCAGTTTACGATTCCATCATGGAGATTTGCTGTTCAACAGAGCAAGGAGGGAGCCCACTGGGGATATGCAAGCTTCTGACATAACTAAGAGTTCTCTGGATTCTAGCCTTGGTTATTAAAATTTCTTTCATTTTCTCAGACTAAACACACTTTACCTAGCACCCGGGTTCAGGAAGTATAACTCTGACAATTATTCTCTTTACATTTATGTTTAATATCTCAATGGTCATACGAAACGATTTTATAATTTATGCTCCAGTGTTTAAATTATTTATACAATACATAATGACGAATGATCGCCCCAAGAAAGATACATCTTTGTAATCAAACCAAGCAAAAGTTTTGAAAGCAATCCAGATTTAAATGTTCATGTCAATATTTGCTATGTGTTATGATTGATTTGAAAAAATGTTAACGGTATTAATATTATTGAGGTGTCAATCCTAAAAACAGTCCAGTAGAATATAATTCCACATATAGTCTAGGTGTAAAACCTCTCAACATTTGCCAGGACCTTTTCCTTCCCATAATAATAATTGGACAAATTTGCCTAGGATGTGTCATAGATATTCATGTTCAGATTTACAGTTATTTTCTTTCCTAGTTTATATATATTTCAGATTAAAAAGGAAAAACCCACAATGTTTTAGCTGACTCTTTAGCCACAGTCTTAGCATAAAATTAGGCACCCCAAAAGTTCCACTGAAATCAAGGGGACAATCCTGTCTACTCAGAAGTAAGGCCCACAAAATTCAATGAGGCTTTCCTTGCAAAAATGCCAGGGGTTTTAGTTTGTGCTGTACTGTGGCCCAGACTGGCAGACAGAATCTCACTGAAGTTGGCAAGCCTTTGAGAAAAGACTGGACAGAAGTCACCAGAAAGCTGGCCTGAGCAATCTCTGTTGAAATAAAGGGGCAGCCTTATGCTGATGCAGTTTCATCCACTCCAATGGACAACTCGTTGGACTGGGCCCTTTGGACTTTGTAGATGAAAGCTGCAAACACAGCTAAAGTCATGAAGCAGAACTCATGTGCTTGAGTCGTGTAAAAGCAGCAGGTGAATAATGTGGAAGAGGCAGGTACACGGATGAGAATGGACAGAAAAGAGCAACTGAAAATGGTTATGGGTGGTTATTTACAACAGACATTGTCAGTTGGTAAATTAGATATGATGCTAAAAAGGCACAGCTTTCCCTTCTTAAATACACTGTAAACAGTTCATTATGCATGCAAAACAGTTCACTTTACAAAAAAAATTACTTTGTGTTTAGACAAAAAAAGAGTAATTAAATAGTCTCCAGCAAAATAGAATTCTTCCAAAAATACTTTCCCATTCATCCTATTAACCATTAAAGATTTTTAGGTCTCATTTACAAAAGTTCCTTATACCATTTTTTCAGGTCCTTCAATTTATACATACAGCAATGTACAGTACAGCAAAAGACTGCAAAAAATTATTGGTAAAGCCAGCACAATAGATACTAGAAATTGAAACTGGGACATTTGTTTTAGCATCTTATCCTTTCAAGTTAAATAATAAATGAACACTTTAACACAGTGTAGATCATCTATGATGGATAAGATGGGATAACAAATGCCACAGATGAATATACCAAAATTATTCCACATCAAAATGCTCCATTATTTAATTTACACAGCTAGGGATTTGTGTGTGTATGTGTGTCTCTATGTGTATTTTATAGTACAAGAATTAATGCCCCATATTGACTTTGTTTTATGTGCAAACCAATGGTAAGCTTTTAAAAAGTTCATATTAGTCCTTGAACCTTTTTAAAAGAAGGAAACAATACCAGAAACTACATGGCATATTTAAAATGTTTGTTTCTTAAATATCAAAACCAAAGAGTTATTTGACTAGATATGGCTTTTCATCCAGAGGAATAGAACATTTCTTTTTTGTTTGTTTTGTTTTCCTAAATGTGGGCAGTATTGGGGGTAGGGGGACAGTCCTTGAACATCTAAGCTGACCTTGTCTCACCAAGTTCAAATAAGATGCTTTCCCTCCTCCAAATCCCTTTCCTATGGTTTTTAAATGGTTGAACAATTTTGTATAGCATATTTTAAAATGTGGCTTCTTGGGTCCTTCATGAGAATGGAATAGCACAGGGAAACTTAAGGCAAAGTTTTTTTGTGTGTGTTTTCCAATAAGTCATTTTCTGTCACTTCCTGTGGAAGTAGAGGGGCTTGGCATTCCCGGATTCCACTTTGGGCAACTGGTCACTGATGATTTCTACCAACATGGCTGGAAACTCCACTTTTAGAGCCTGAGACTCCCGGAAGGTGTAGAAACAGAATTCCAACAGATCACTAACAAGCTGAAAAGCAATATGAAAAGAGAAGGATTAGTAATTAACATTATAAGAAATAAACTGTGTAAAAAGAAAACTGATTGAAATCTGTAGTCTTAAGCAGGGATCATGCTGGGATCATGACAAAGGAACATCCACGATATAAAATCTAATGTTTCAGCCAGGGAGTGGCAAATGGAACCACCAAATACAGTGGGACTCCCATTTTTTTTAATAACCCCTCTTTCATTTTACCAAACATTACAAACAATGCCATCAAGTCAGCACTTTGCTTATATTTCATAATGAGACATATTCATAATCTGAAATGATCTGATGATGGTTCGTACAAATTTTGTATCTCCAGCAAGTCATGAAGAGCAAAGAAGTTGTAATAACAGCCCCCAAGATTATATTCATCACACAAATTACTTTAAATTATTGAAGGCAAAGTTTGGGTTGTATGTGATAGAACGGGGAACTGTTGGTCAGCCACTCTTGGCAACCTTCACCAGTGGGCTGTGCTGAAAGGAGTTAGTTGGCCAACAATATCTGGGCACCAACATATTCTGCAACTCAGGTTCAAATCTTCCCTACCACTTGACTCACTAAACTGTGTCTACTACAGTATGTATACAGATCGTTTCCTTTATAAAGCCATGTATTGCCAAAACAGAGAGGTTCTGCAGAATAAATAGCCTCTCTCTGCCGATGTTCCGTTTAATAATTAATCTCTCCAAAAAAGCAAGAAGGGGCCAACTTTTATTTTGCTAGCTTAGGCTATTCTGAAAAAAATAAATCTCTATTGTGAATGTAGTTATGTAGTCCTCCTTCTATGTACTCTCCTAAAATGCTCATGCACTTAAAAAATAGGGGGATGGGGGTTGGTTTTCTAAACCATTTGCAGTTATTCACAGGATTATCAAAAGACAAAATGACTCTTCCCCCTTTTAGTAGCAACCTGTCCTATTACAGAGGGCAAACATTTAACCACAATGGAGTATTTATACAGAGATTTCACTGTATATGTAAAACTAAAGATAACTAAACAGCATTTCACACTGAAAAGTAACTTCAATTTTTTTCCGTAACTCCGTCTAATAATATTATACTTATTTCAAGTAAGAGCAATCATAAAACCACATCATCATTAAAAGAGAACAGCAACAATAACGATGTCAAGGGAGATCAGTGAACATTAAAGGATATTATTTAGCTATGGATCTTCTTAAAATAAACATAGGTCAAGCATGTGAAGGGAGCAGACTTCCCTGCCAACTTCTCCCCTTCAGCCCCTGAACAGGGCTGCAAAGTCAGAGGTCCTGCTGGACTGGGTAAGGGGATCCCTGAGAGTTGGGCAAAGGCTATACAGTGGTGCCCTGCTGGACGATTACCCCACTTGAGGACGAATCAGCTTAACGTTGAAGTTTTTGCGACTGCAAAACAATGTTTAGATGGGGGAATTTCGCTTAATGTTGATTGGTTCCCTGCTTCGGGAACTGATTTTTCGCTTTACGACGATCAGCAAACAGCTGATCGTTGGGTTTCAAAATGGCCGCTGGCTGTAGAAAATGGCTCCCCGCTGTGTTAGGGACGGATTCCTCACATTACAACACCAGAAAATGGCCGCCGTATGGAGGAGCTTCACTGGACGAGCAGGTATTTCGCCCATTGGAATGCACTGAACGGTTTTCAATGCGTTTCAATGGGTTTTTAAAATTTCGCTTGACGTTTTCACTGTACAGCGATTTCGCAGAAACGAATTAACGTCATCAAGCGAGGCACCACTGTATATTGTTGCTTACAGCAATTTCAGGACTATTGCAGAAAAGGTGTGTAGAAGGCTGCTTCTTCCAGCCTAGCTGCATGCACTTACATCTAGATCTATCCCCTGGCTTTCCCACCGTATTTTGAATGTCTGTTAAAATGAACTGAACTCTGCTTAGGATGTGAGCTCTTCACTCCTCTCTCCTTCCACGTCCTGTGGCCTGTTACCTAATGAAGCAGAGGGTGCCTCCTCCCAACCACAGGCCACCGCTGCCTACAACATATTCATAAATGAAATTTAAAAAATATAATGATCATGCATTCACACTCAGGCATCTTGTGAGCACACCTCTTGAATTTTTGGGCTGATGCCCCCCTCAGTTCAAAAGTCACTCCTTCACTTATTACACACTTTGCTCAACCAAAGAGTATTTGTGACTAGACATTCTGGTCCCAAACTTCAAGATAGGGATAGGCTAAAAGCAGAAGTATCTACTATTAAGTATCAGAAAATGGTTTACATCAGAGGTGTGCGGATCTGGATTTCTGGATTACAGTTGTAATCAAAAAGTTGTATTCCAAAAGAAATGAACAAATCTGCACACCTCTGGTTTGGATACAAATTCGCAGATGAACTTTTGTATATAAAGCTTTTAATTAATTCTATCCAGAATATTTTCAATTCATTTTTTTGAACAGGAAGAAAAATAGAGATCTATTCCTGCAAAAAATATTTAAAACCAAATTCTGTTGCTTAGTCCAGTAAATCCCATTAGAGTAGGCCCACTGAATCAATGTGGATTTGGTGAGCCAAGTGCTCCATAAGGTCCATTGATTCCAGTTAGAGTAAGCCCATCCAAATCAATGGAACGTTTGCAGGAGTGGACTCAACCAATCCACACTGATTCAGTGGGCCTACTTTAGTGCAATGTGCTGCATGAAACAACAGAATTTTGAGGATAGTAAAGTACATCTCCTTTGCAGGTGAGCAAATGCTTTAAGCCTCAAACCATCTTCTAGGACTGTGCCAAGTTACAGTATTACTCCTACCTATTCTGATGGTCATGCCCAAACATATAGTTATGAGCATTTGGGGTTTACAGTATAACAATCAACAACATCCAGGAAATTAAATATGTACATTTGGCGGAAGTTATGCAATTCATACTGCTACACATATTGACACTGTAAGGTCATGAGTTTGAGGCTGGTTTCTCCACTGAATCTTCCTGAGTCATGTAGGCTGCCGGTTAAACAGAGTATGTGTTATTTTAAATCTTGCAGTGAGACAGAGATAAAAGCTGCTGATGACCTTTTAAAAACCAGAGTGTGCTGTTTGTCAAACCGCTTATGAAAATGGGTTTCTTAATCTGCCAAATATCAAACAGACATGATTTTAAAATTTAAAGCCTATCCAGGTGTAGGATATATCCCCACTACCTGCTTATACAATTCACTTTTAAGCCTGCTGAATATGTATGCAACTTTTCCCCCCTTAAAATGACATCTAGAGAGTCTGTGTGAGCAAGTAAAAGCAAAGATATGGACAGAATGGACAATGCTAGGCATAAACAATATATAATCTCAAAGAAAATAATAGGAAAAGTACCAGCCCATCCATATTTAAGATCGTATAAAGAAGCCCTTTCTCAAATGTTTTCCTTAACAGTGGAACACTGCACATGTTCTGAGGAACATGGTGGTGTGATTTGGTTTTAAGAACTAAATTAGGACAAGCGTTTACTCTTTATTCTATCTACTTAGCTATCCATGCTTTGCATTTCTTGTAGTGCTGTCAAATTGCTTATGGCAACCATATTAATTTATGACCACCCAGCAGTCCTATCACTAACAGTCCTGCTAAGGTCTTGCACATTAAAAACTGTGGCTTTCTTTACCAAGTCAGTCCATATCATGTTTGATCTTCCTGTTTTCTTACTGTCTTCAGCTTTGCCTAGCATTATTTTCTTTTCCTTTGGATTTGCATTTAGGAGACTAAATTCCATATGCCAAATAAATTAAGCCAAAGCAAAAGATGCTGCAGTGCTATTTTTCCACTGTAGCACTATAGCACCCAGAATCTCCTGGTCTACATGCCAGCCCTGAAACATTTAACACCTTTCCAAACTCTGAGCCAATTAAAACTTGCAATGTCACCAAAAGGCACCTCACACAGGCAATACTCAAGTTGCTTCCACTTAAGAACATCTTTATCTAATGCCATTAAACGGTTGGTGCTGCTTTGAGGGTATACCCGAGTGGAACTGAGACATTAATCCCACTGAGTGTATGGGGCCTAAATCAGTTTAAATCTGGCTTCATTAGCATTTTAAACTCTACAGGACTGAATTCAAGCTGTTTAATAATTGCTTTGTTTTACTTTTAGGGATCGGTAAACAAAGTTGCTGATGTTGTTAAATTCTTATTTGCTTATCTTTTCTTTCAGGCAATCATTTCCTCATCTTGGCACTTTTCTGCACTCACATATGTTCACCATGTGGGTAGAAGGCTAGCTAGGACCACCAATGTAAAACCTAGCTGGTATTCCTATATTTTAGTTTTGTTGTTCTTAGTATTGGGATGTCTTACTTAAAGTATTTCTTTTCCACCTTTTAAGATTTTTGTTTTTACTTCAGAAGGCTAATTTTTTTTCCTTGCCATGTTAGGTTTTCACATGCAGAGATTCTGAGGTAAAAGTATTTTCAACCACTGTCCCTGCTTGAATAGTGAAAATCTCTTAGTAGATTATACCATGTCCCTCTGAAACTTGCTTAAATGACAGTGCAGCAATGATGTGCTGGCGGAGCAAATCAACATTCTATAAGACATTTCTAAAAATGGGGCAGCCCAAACAAAAAATTATAATTTTTAAACATGGCTTCAGATCAGCACCAAATCTGCCAGTTTTGTAGTAGACAGTATGCTCCTGCTCTGTGCCAAACCTGGAGGTGTCTGGGCAAAGGGCAAAGAGATTCCAACTCTGCCATTTTTTAAAAAAAAATGTGATTTTTTTTTAAAATGTGATTTTCTTTAAAAAAATGTAACTGTTTACTCTCTCTTCAAAAATAGGGAGCTCTAATATCCTCAGATTTAAAACAGATCACATAAATTGAAAAGACCAATCTTATCTTGAAAGAATATGGTAGGCCTCACCCACTTTTTTTTTAATGTGGAAAGAATCTGGAGATTCTGTGTATGGTTGTAAAAATGGAGACAATATATTTTTTAAAAAAATGCAGATGTTGAAAATATTTTTAAAT